GAGGTCACAAATAACCTAAACACGTTTCTCAGCGGTGTGGAAAAACAAGAACAAATTGAGACCAAACATAAAAGAAGGAAAGGAATAATAAAGAATAGAACTGAAAATAATAAGACATAGAGTAAAAGAATAAGGCATAATGAAGAAGTCAAATAGTTGGTTCTTTGAAAAGAAAAACAATATTAATAAACCCTTAGTCAAACCAATCAAAATGAGAAGGAAGATTGAAACTAAACCTGCACACTTCAAGATGAAGAGAGACAATGTTAAAATTACCAGTGAAATCCAGAGGATTCTTGGGGACTACTTTGAAAACCTATACTGTAGTAAATCAGAGAATTTAGAAGAAATGGATAAAGTTATAGACATACATGAAGCACCAAAATTGAATTGAGAAGATATATAAAACCTAAATCAGCCAGTAATGAGCAATGAAATTAAGGAAGTTTTAAAAAGTATCACAGCTAAGAAAAGTTTGGGACTAGATGGGTTCCAGGCAGAGTTTTCTTTTTACATCTTTCAAAAACTGCAATGTTCTTCTAACTGTTTCATGAAATAGATAGAGAAGGAATGCTTCAAAGTTATTCTAAAAGACCACCATCATCCTGATACCCAAACCAGAAAAGAATACAAGAAAAGAAAACTATACATAGACATCCATGATATAGATGCAAAAATGCTTATTAAAATACTTGCAAACCCCATTCAACCACATCTTAAGAACAATACACCATGAACAAGTTGACTTCATTCTAGAGATACAAGTATGATTCAACACACACAAATCATAATAAACATAATATACCACATGAAGAGAATCAAGGATGAAAAACACAGGGTCATCTCAAATGATGTGGAGAATTCCTTCAATACAGTTCATCATCCCTCCATGATAAATACCCAAAAGAAATTAAATATTGAAAGATTATTCCTCAATATGGTAAAGCTCATATGTGTCAAACTGTAGCCTACATCATAATGAGTGGAGAAAAACAGAGTATTTTCTCTAAAATCAGGAATGAACAAAGAATGTCTATTCTTACCACTTTCTTTTGTTCTTTTTTTTTTTTTTCTGGTACTGGGGACCCAACTCGGGACCTTGGACTTTTGAGGCAGGCACAGCACCACTGAGCTACATCCCCAGCCCTCTTACCACTTTTATTGATAGAGTTTGAATTTTTGTAGATAACTAAATTAGACAACACAAAGAAATAAGAAGGATACAAATAGGAAAGTAAGAATTAAAATTATCCTTATAGGAAAATAATATGATCATATAATTAGAAAAATCTTAAGATTCCACCAAAAGACTTTCAGAGCTGATAAAATTCAGCAAAGTAGCAGAATCCAGAATAACCATCTAGATAATCAATTACTATACTACACACCAATAATGAACTAGCTGAGAAAGAAATCAGGAAAACAATTACAGTCATAATAGAGTTTTTAAAAAGCTAAGGATCTACCTAAGCAAAGAGTTGAAGCACCCCTTCAATGAAAACTTCAAAAAACCTGAAGAAAGAAATTGAAGAGGACACAAGAAGATGGAAATACCTCCTATATGGTATTTGTAAACAGAGTTGATACTGCCAAAATGCTTCACATGTGAGAGTGAACTACGGATTCAAGGCAGTCCTCATAAAAATACAAATGACACTCTTTTCAAAGCTAGAAAGCAATGTTAAAATTGATACGAAAACACAAATGATCCAGAGATAAAGCAATCCTAAACAACAAGAGCAAATCTAGAAGAACCACAATTCCCAATTTCAAATGATATTACAAGCCAAAGTAACAAAAACAGTATGGAAATGGCACAAAAACAGACATGTAGATCAGTGGCACAAAATACAAGACTTGGAAACAAGCTCATACAACAATAACCACTCGATTCTGGACACAAGAGAGTCCATAATGTTAACTGAAATAAATCAGACAAGCAAGCTGAAATATCACATGGGTTCTCTTATATGAAACACTCAAAATATAAATAAAGAGCAAAGTAAAAGATAGACTGTAGGAAATAGGACAGATCTGTTAGAAAAGGGAAACAGAACAAGAGTTGGAGGGTGGGGGGAGGGAATTGAGGGGAAGGGGATAAAGAATTAGGATGTGTTATGCACATGTACCAACTCGCTATGAAGAATGCAGTCATTATGTGCAGCAAACATGAAAAATAAAAAGCAAAAATTGAAAAAAAAGATGAACTATATGTTACAGAAAAGAGCTTCTTTAACAAATGGTGCTGGGAACACTGGATATGCACTTATGGAAGGTACAGAGTAGATCTCTATCTCCTACCCCATGGAAAAAGTCAATTTAAAATAGATGAAATACCAAGAAATATGATGGGGAAATTTGAAACTGCTGAAAAACAAAACAAAACTGGAGGAACAACTGAAGCCATAGGCATAGGTGGAGACTTCTTGAATAAGACTCCAGTAGCACCAGAAATAACAACAAGAACCAGCAAATAGGAACGCATTGGATTAAAAAGTTTCTGTCCAGAAAGGAAAACAATCAGAATGAAGAGAAAATCTACAGAATGAGAGAAAATATTTGCCAGTTATTCTTTTTATTTTGGTACTGGGGATCGAACTCAGAGCCTTGCGCTTGCGAGGCAGGCAGCAGAACCACTGGGCTAAATCCCCGACCCTGCCAGCTATTCTTTTGGCAAAGGATTATATCTAAAATACATAAAGCATTCAAAATACTTGGCATCCAAAACTCAAATAGAATAATCATTAAATGGTAAGAGACTTGAAAACATACTTCTCAAAAGAAGTACAAAAAGCCAATAAGTGTATTAAAATATTCAAGAACTTTATCCATTAGGGAAATGTAATCAAAGCTATACTGTGATTACATCTTACCCCAACCACAATAGCTATCAACAAGAATACAAAAAAAAAAGTATTAGCAAGGATGTGGTGAAAAAACAACACTTCTACATTGCTGATGAGAATGTTAATTAGAACAATAACTATGGAAACCATACGGAGGTTCCACAAAAACTAAGTTAGAATTACCATGAAATTAAAGTTTACCATCCCTCGGTATATACCCAAAGGAATTAAAATCATAGCACAAGGTTACCTGCATGCTCATTTTTATTTTGGCACAATATATAATAACCAAGACATGGAACCAGTCTACATGTCCATAAACAGATGAACAGATAAAGAAAATGTGGTGTATGTCAACAGTGGAGTACTATTCAGCCATAATAAATGGAGTTTTGTCATTTGCAGAAAAATGAACTGACCTAGAGATTATAATATCAAGCAAAATAAACCAGACTCAGAAAGACAAACACTGCATGTTCTCCTAATATGTAGAATATAAAAAAGTTGGCAAGAAAATTGAAAGGAGACTATTATTAGATGAGAGAAGGGGAAGATGGATGAAGGCAAGGTGGTACAATGGTGGATAGTAAAGGAAATGAATATGATTGAAATGGATTATACTTACGGAACCCCCCCAAAAAGTGTAACTGGGAGAGAGTGGAGGCACAGGGGTGATGGAGGAGAATGAGTAAAGAGTGTTATGTGGTTTGGGTGTTACATGGTTTGAATGTTTAGTTTCTGCCAAAAAGAAACTCATTAATCTGTGTAATCAATATGCTGTAATAAAAAAGTGGAAAAAGAACTCATAACATATAATGGAAAGGCTATTAATAATCTTTTCTCTAAGAAAGATACATAAATTTCCAATAATTATTTGAGTCTTTAACATTTTCAGTTCTCTGAGAAACACAAATCAAATGTATTATTATACTATTTCATATTTACTAAGATTGCCATAATAAACTGGGTAAGATAATCATAAATAGTGTTGCTACAGGAGTGAAAAATTTGGATTTCCAGACCTTGCTCATTATCATGTAAAAGGATGCAGCCATTTCCAAAACAGTTTGGGCTGTAGCTGAAGAGCCAGGCTTTATGTGGGTGACTAATTCATATTATTTTGGGTCAAATACAAAGGAGATTTTTTTTTTTAAAAGACAAGTTGAATGACAACTTTAAAATATTAAGCATAAAATGATGTTACACATAAAAGGTGCTTTCTGAGACTGAAGTTTTACGTGTTCCTATTAAGATTCTGCTCAAGAACTGTTCACTGTGTTTAATTAATTAATATAGGCAAATATGAGATTTTAAGACACTTTATTACAAATCGTCATAATGTGCACATATTACATTAGAGTTATTGACTTTGAGGGTATTGTGAAATACCTAATCTAATAGAACAATTAGCTTTTTGAGCAATTTAGAGATGTAGTCTCAGTGATGCATAGATAATAAGGCCCCTTTCACATCATGGCCTTAGTAGGTAGTCTACCAAGGAAGACACAAGACTCTTGTTCTCTGGTTATCCCACAAAAACACAAATCTGCTTCCTCCAGAGGTTCATTGAGGAAAAAGAAGGTAAGTATTATATAAAATTTAATAAGCTGTCAGTCTTCAAAAAGTAACTTGTAGAAAATTTAAGGATGATTTAAAAGGGTTTAATGACAGTTTGTCTTCATTTAATTCTAATAAGATAATCTGGTATGGAACTCACAGTGAGGCAAAGAAAGAAAGGAAGAAAGAAAAAAGAAAGGAAAAAAGTGAAAAGAAAAGAAAAAAGCAGAATTTTACACCCATATTTTATCATGTTATATACAAATGCTTAACAGTCAATGAGTTCTTAGAGAATTGAGAATTTACTAATAATTAAAATATAAACATTGTCTCATGTATCTATGAGTCTAGTTGTAAAAAAATGAAAAAGAGCAGTAAACGGATAATAAAAGGTAAATGAGGTTTTAATAGAAAATATTATCAGGTTTGATTTAAATAACCACCAAAATTTTATCTGAAAATGTGATATGAATTATTTGCAATATTATTTATGAAATCGTATCTATCCCATGGAAACTATAATAATACAAATATTATCATACTACCACTCTACATAACAGGAAATGCTGGATATATTAGCCTGGGATGTCTTTCAATTTAACCCTTGGGAAAGAGCATCTTGATTACTCCATCTCGGATCTGTTTGGTTTTCACTCCATAGACAATGGGATTTAGCAAGGGTGGAACTAGGAGGTAAAGGTTGGACAGCAGAATGTGTACATAAGGAGCAACACTGAAGCCAAATCTGTGTATGAAGGACGTAAAAAATGTGAGAATGTAGAACTGAAGAAAGACAAAGATGTGGGCTGTGCACGTGTTGAATGCCTTAAATCGTGCCTCCTTCTGTGGCAATTTAAAGACAGCCTGGAAGATGAAGGCATAGGACAGAAAAATGAAGATTACGTCCAATCCAAGGACTGAGAAAGCCACAAACAGTCCGTATGCTTTATTGGCTCTGACGTCTTCAGCAGCCAGCTTTACCACAGCCATATGTTCGCAGTAGGAATGAGAGATGACTGTGGTCCGAAAATGCTTCAGGCGCAATTTAATTAGAAGTGGACACATGATGATGATAACAGATGCCCGGATGGTCACTGCCAGGATGATGCTGATTAGCCCCTTCCTAGTGAGAATAGCAGAGTGCCTCAAGGGCTCACAGATAGCCACGTAGCGGTCGAAGGCCATGGCCAGGAGAATGCCAGACTCCATGCACTGGAAAGTGTGAGTGAAATACATCTGGATAAGGCAGGAGTCAAAGTGAATCTCCCTTGATTGAAGCCAAAAGATGGCCAGCATTTTGGGAGTGATGCATAGGGTCAGACCCAGATCAGTAGCTGCCAATACAGCTAAGAAGACATACATGGGTTCGTGGAGGCTGCGCTCAGAGCGGATGGCAGCGACGAGGAGGCCGTTTCCGATGGTGGCCAGGACAAAAGAGATGAAGAATGGGATCCCAACCCAGCGTTGCACTGCTTCAAGGCCTGGAATCCCAGTTAGCGTGAAGACAGATGGCCTGAAGCAGGTGCCATTGGCAATCAACATGATGGGACAATGAAAGAAAATCCTTCTGAATGTCCAATCTAATCAGAAGGAATGAACTTCATTAATAGCCTTAATTATACAGTATAATCCTGGAAAGCATTTGGGAAAATATGATAATCTGTAGCATTCCTCTAGTGCTAACCTAGATTTTAGCCTGATTTTATTAAGAAAAAAATGACTTTTCATGTTTTAGGAATTTTATAGTAAATTTCCCCTAACCCTTAAATAAAGCATATATATATATGTAAAATAAAAATTTAGTAACTGTGGCCCCAAATCATTTAAGTTCTCAATTGAAATATGTCTTTATCTTTGTAAGTATATTATAAATTCTATACAGTTGTGAAGTATAGCTTTTTACTTTTAAAAATACTACAGACATTTTTATTCCAAAGACATACAGATAAATATTAAGTAATATTCTACTATAATATAAAGTAAAATCTGCTACTGATATTTTTTCTCCTATTCACAATTATACTTCTTCCAAGGAGTTATGTATATGTGTGTATGTGTGTGTGTGTATGTGTGTGTGTGTATATATATATATATTTTTTGTACCAGGGATCGAACTTGGGTCCTTGTGCTTGCAAGGCAGGCAGCGAAACCACTGAGCTAAATCCCCAGCCCGGTGTTATATTTTTAAATGAAAATTATCATTCTTCTTACCCTCTCTTCATTTTTATTTCCCAGTGATTTGTATTACCCTTATAATTATACTACAGCCTCGATCAAGTCTAAAGAACATAGAGTATTATAGACCTTACATTAAAAAGATCAGCCTGTAGTCATAAGATATTTTTGTATATGTATGACTTGTATAGTTTGGAGATCAACAGAAATAAATTAAATAAATCAATATCTATATTATTATTATTCTTTCTTACCAGAAAAAGAAATTCCCTTTGAAATGTAATCAAACAAACAAAACAATTGGCATTTTGAATAAAAACTAACTCAAGTTATTTCCAATTTAAAACCACTGATCCCAGGACTGAGAAGATCACAAACAGTCCATGTGCTTATTGGCTAAAACAGAAAGTAAGTTTGTTAAAGTGTTTGGTTTTACTTCTTAAGCATTAGTATGATTACAGCTATTTAATAGCTTCTTCCATTTTAAATTAATTCACCTTAAGATAAACACAATTTTGTCTTTCTGCTATTACTTAAAATTGGAAAGCCTCTCTCTTTCTTGGGATAAAATCAAGCAGCAAAAGACTGTGGGATAATGTTGAATTCTTCTCCCTACCACTTGCACACACACTTTTAAATCAATTGCCAAGTGTCTTGATTCTGTCATTGTTAGGGGGCTATAGGCAAATCATTTAATCACCTCGTCTCTACTGTGCCATCCGTCAAGTGAAGATAAATGTGAGTCATTTATAGGAAAATGGGTGCACCTTGAGGCCATAATGTTAAGTGACATGGGTCAGACACACAAGCATAAATATCACATGGTTTCTCATAAACAAGACTTAAATAAAGAGCAAAATAAAAGACAGATAGTGCTTAGTAGGGAGCTAGAACTTTCTCAGTGAGAAAGGGATCAAGAGATGGAGAGAGGGGGAGAGAGGGGAAGAAGATGAGAAAAGGAACTTACATGTTGTATACGTGTACCCACTCCCCACAAGGAAGGTAAACATTACGCACTGCAAACATCTACTAATAAAACAAAGAGAGAAAAGATGACCCATGTAGAAACAGAGCTTTCACTTTGCTTTGTCCATTCCAGTCTTTTCAAGGAAATGTATCCAAGCATGAGGAACACACTGCACTGCCGCCAGGAGTTAGTGTACTAGAAAGGTGAGTGCTCAACATCCACTTCCCAGCACACACTGTAGCCAGCACAACCCAAAGTGAAGCAGTTCCTGGCAAGGACCAGAGGTTTATATAGTATGTTTTCTCTATTTATGTTTCCTGCATTTTTAAAAAAAGATACATTTAGGAAAAGCAAAACAAAAAAATGTTCTATCTGCTTGTTTTTCTCTTAAGTAATCCAGAGGTTTAGAAAGAGTAGAGGTGACCTGTATTTGTGGTGCTAGATTAAAAATTTTTTTAAAACACAAAAAAATAAAACAATAACAAACTATGTAGAGAGATAACAAAGATATAGGCATTCAAGGATAGAAAAACTGTTCATAAATAAATGTTTTGAAATAATTTGTATTCTTCTCTATGGTGAATAGTTCTGAATGTGTGAAAAGTGTAACTAGGGGTGTTTTGGAGCTGTTGAAGTTGATAAATAAGTTATTCTATAATCATTAGATGAGCACATTAACTACCAAAATATTTTAGATTATAATAATTCGAGTAATTCTAACAAGTTTGAAGGCAAGTCATATGTAGAAGAGGTATATGAGTTGTTTAAAATTACTTAACATATTTCAGTTACTTACTAGATACCTGGTAATATTCAATTTTATAGTTGTTGTAAATGAAACATAAAGAGGTGAAGTGTCATTGACATTGTCTCCATGGCGACAGAACCAAAGAAAGGCTATATAGAATCACTGCACTAGGTTAAACTGCTTCTGAATATACAGTATGAGCTCATTAATGGGAAATTACATTTATGCAAAAAGCCTGATAAGAATTCCATTGAATTCTTACTAAGTACCACTGAATATTAGTGATAATAATCTGGGTTGAGGAATTTAGTTATTTTCTTGGTTATGATATGTAAAACCATAATAAGTACACTACGCAGAAAAATAAAATCCAACCATTTTTTATTCTTCACTGAAAGTCTAGAATTGCCAGAATTTTTTCAATAAAACTGACATCGCTGAAATCTCAGGGAAGGGTATTTCCTCCAACATGAATTTTTATGGGAGAAATAAATAATAAAGAACAAACTTCTGACTTCTAAGAACTCATTTAAAATCATGACCATGTTCTAGAGGCAGGATGTACCATGTAAAGTTGTGAATTCTTTATGATGAGTGTTATCATTATGTTTATCTAAAATGTACCAATAAATATTTTGCTTCAAGAAAGGTTAATGCTTATAACAAAAATAAAACTATGACTATGATGGTGGCTGCAATATTAAAAAAATTGATACCATTAGTTAAATGAACACAGTGTATTCAGTGCATACTCAGAATGGTAGACTTCATCTCTACATTTATAAATTACAAAGATAATCAGGGAGGCTTTGAAGATTGCCTTCTGAATAATTTAGCTATATGAATTGTACATTTACTCTGAGGAAGTCCAAAGGTGTATTATTAAGCATATCTTGTTCTAAGGCCCTGGTCCCATACATAGAACTATATTCATTTAAAGAACTGAAAACCAAAATCCCCATCATCCTACAATATCCATTAAGTAACAGGTGTCAGAATGGAAAAATCAGGTTGTCTTAAAGAGAGATGCCTGGTAATCTCTAATCTCTACAAATACTTAATGGGTTCAAAGTAATCTGAGATTATAATCTACAGCGTTCCTTAAAATATAAACAATGCCAACAGGTATCATTACAGGGTAAAGAACACAACATTAAGGGCTTTCCACCAATCTCTATGCATTATCTTGTAAGAAAACATGAAGATGTTACTACAGTGAAATTTCTTCTCTTGAAAGCTACATAGCTTGTTCTTGGATCTACTAATTTAAAACAAGATCTGACACCAATTTTTGTATAGTTAAAAGATGCTGTATAGCTTCTGCTTGATACTGGTTCTTTTACATTCAATAAAATCCATTTTAGCAGTGTCATGTTGAGACAAATCTGGGACAGAAGTCCCCTATCCCATCAGCACAATTACTTATAAATTGTCTCCTCATCACCTTCTTCAGCACTATTACACTACTTTTTATATATTTATTTTTTCTCATGATAACCATCTCTTTCTCTTTCATTATCTTCTCCATTAGAGTAAAGTAGAGACTCCCATTTGTTCACAGCATTTTGGAAATCTGAATATTCCTTCTGGCTAATGCTAAAATAATCAAATCTGAACTTCAGAAAAGAATGTCCAAGTACCTCTCTTTTGGGCCACCTGTGAAGTGCCTCTCAGTTCAGCAAGGACCATGACCGAGGGTTTATAATATTTAAAACACTTCCCTTAGGAATCTGGTGGTAATCTAGAGAATAGAAATATGTCTCAGTTTCCCAAATTAGCCATGCTAACTCAAACTTTGAATTTTTTCTTCATTTACTGAGCTGCTGTTAAAAGCAAAAACAGTATCAGCAAACCGTTAGGGAATGGGGAAGTAGAAAAATGAGAAACAATTAAAGAACACAAAATGAAACACAGGTGTAGGCAAAGACTTTCTGGAAAAAAAAAACCGAGTTGCACAAGAATTAGCAAACAGGATCACATAAAATTAAAAAGTTTCTGCCCAGCAAAAGAAATCATTATATATATAAAGGAAATTATATACATATATATATATATATAATTGCACATATTTATTGGGTACAGTATGGCATGTCAGTATATGTTTACAATCAGAATGATTAAACAAGGGCAACTGAAAGATCCATTACATCTCAAATACTGATTATTTCTTTGTGCTGGATATTTTAAAATTGTAGCCACTAGCTATTTTAAATTATATATTTAATTGTAATATGATATATTTAATTGTAATTAACAACAGTGGACATAGCAACAGAAGCTTAGCCCTACTGTGCTATAGATCCTTTGAAGCTATCCCCTCTTCCCATCTATTTTTCCCACAAACTTTAGGCATTCCCTCTCCAACATGCTCTTTATCTCTCCAGCCTCTGTTACACACTAATTGTATCTTAAGTTTAAATCCTGTCTCCCTTGCCTTTTCTTAAATGTCTTCATAGCATATCTACCTTGCAGAACTTTACATAACTCTGAGTATCCCTCTCCTTTCCTGTTTACTCTCAAGATGAATATTCTATAACACAACCTTAATCAAACATGGTGATATGAAGTACCAGATTCAAAATCCTTAAATTCCCCCAAATTATTGTTGGAATGAAAAACACATCATTTAAAAGCCAATTATAATTTTATATG